CGTTGGTGACCCCTGGTCTACAGGATGATCAGGATGGACCTCAGCTCAGAGTGGAGCTGTGGTTACTTATATTAATGTGATTTAATTAGTTTCCATATTTTAATTTACAACAAAAAGCTTCACTATAATTTGTTCATTTAGGTGTTATTAGGAGGAAATAGATTATTTTAGTAACGTCTTGGATACGGCTATAAAATAACGTGATGTGGCAGAAATGCAGCGCTGTGAATACTTCTGGATGTTTCCCACTTTGGGATCTGATCAGGAAACCTCCAAATGATGGAGAAGAAACCAAAGAAAACTGCTGTGAATTATTTTATTTGTGTCCAGGAAATTAAACTTCAGTTTGTGAGCCTGATAATCCTCAGTCGCTCGGATTCTCTGGTTGTTTCTTTCTTCATGGAACAGATAAAGGAGAAGGTAAGTCTCTGGTTGGACGCTCCTGTGTAGGAAAAAGAAAACATGAGGAGAAAGCTCTTTTTACATTAGATTAGATCAGACACACATATAGATTTCCTAATTCCTTCACATCGCTCCACACACCTCAGCAGATTTCACCCGGAGTCTGGTAGAGCAACAGAGGAAGTGCAAAACATTTAAAAAGAAAAAGGATGGATGAGTTGATCCTTTATCAGCCGCTGAGTTCTGCTCAGCAGAAGCTGCTTTTTTAAGGAACACCAGTTTGTTGCTGTTCATCATGTGGGGCCCAAAATGGGGTCCAAGGCCCATTTAAAGCCTTTTTTTAAGGCTCTTTACCAGCATTAAAGAATGGGAGATACAAGTTCTGTATCTGCCAGGTCTGTTTTATTTTTTTGATTTAATAGTAAAATCTTTGTCCGTCCATTTATGAGTTTGGCTAAAAGTAAGAATGAGTCTGATCCATATGTGGTTCTTGTTGAGGATCATTTAAAAATAAAATTTAGCCCAAAGATAATCTGAATATTTTAGATCATATGATTGTTTTTTACTGATCCCTTTTCTACAGGAATCAGCTTTCTGTGCTTTCTTCATTTAAATATTGAATGCCTCTGTTACCATTGATCAGTAAAAAAAAAAAAAAAACATCTGTGGCCCCTGAGGACTTTAAACAAGACATGTTTGACCCAGGGGTGGATTTAGGAAATTTGGGGCCCTAGGCAAAGACAGGCAGGGGGCCTTCTGAATTGAGAAGACAACACATAAAACAGA